ATTCGTGTAAAGTCAACGGTTATTTTGTGCACAAGCAATTTGGCAAACGACCGGCCTCGCACGATGCCTCACTGACCGCTCTTAAATTGGAATATCGGATAGTGCAGTTCGATGTAGGTGTGCGTAGACTGTGACACTCGTTGCAGAGCAAAAAACATTAAGGTCACTCCAAGGGTCGGCATCGTTTTACGCCCCAGCTGGCCACATCATGTCACGGGGCTGCTTATTTGAGCTATTTGTGACCTACCACAAAGGTGGCACTGACAGCTTGCCCGTAACTGTTTTTTCTCTCCATTGCTGAACCAAGTTCGACACTGAAACCGGTCACGAGTTCTGCACCGTGAGGTCGGCTGGAACAGTAGCTATGGCTGGCTCACTGGCCCCATGCGCGATCTACCGACTCGATACTTTGTGGGCGGAAACGTGTAACGATGTGCGTTTACAGCTGCACAGACTGACCACCATGTTGGTCCTTTCGGTGCGTTTAGCAACGCACAGAGCTGGGGCAGGAATATTCTGACTGCTCTAAAGCCCAGTGCTGCCCCTCTAGCCATGGTGCTTTTCATAAACAAACGTCACTGGTGTCCAACCTGGGTGCCGAGGAATCAGAAAGTAACGCAAATATTTCAGGAGCAATGCTACAGCTACTGTTTCGCACCTGCACACATGCCAGTACTTCTTTTTAGCTCGTAGAACACACTGACTAGCATTGCCTTCCTGTTAGCGTATTTAGCAACTTTTGTCGGGTTTGCTCGCCCCATCTGAGGATATGTGCCAGGCTTGAAACAGATGGCACTCCCATGAATGTATTAAACTCGTTTTCGGAGACTCAGGCTCGAACCGCATGCCACCTGATGGGGGGCTACGTCCTCCACGACGCCAGCTCCGCATTTTCGACCACTCACTAAACTACCTAGACTTTCTCAAGCGACTGACCCGCAATAAAACCGTATGCGTCCTCTTTAAAACGTTTTCAGTGGACCACAAGCGCTCATTTCCCACAAGTTATCACAATGTTTGAGTAGACAATGCGATAGGGTTGAACCGTGGCCTAACTGCTGATTCTGTTTTCCAGACTTGGGGATGATAGGGCATCAATTCTCACCTCGCAAACCTTATGTAAGTCCGCAGAAACACAACTAAATGAAGGTACGAGCACGCCCCACCCAGCCAACGCCGCCACCGAGGTCAATTCACTAGACTTAACTGACAAGAGATGCCTGTGTCCTATCCTAGAAGACCAACAGTATCTGTATCCGTGTCAGCAAGACTGCGCGCTTTCTGACACCTTTTACAACAGGTTGGCAGTTGACAAATTTAGCGGACAGTCCACCGTTCGGGACTTCGACAGCCCGGTTACTACGCTCGTCGAAGCACTACTCCTGGTTGGCAGAAAGGCCCTGGCGATGAAAATAAGGCCAAGATTTCGTTATAGGACCTTTTCGCGGCCAAGATACAGGTCGGAAGCAACCGTCGGGCACCAAGTCCTGAGGCCGAAAGGTCAGCTGTCATGACAGGAAACCTCTAGTTGTTTGCCGGACCTGGTGCAGTTACAGACAGAGCAAGTACGTCGGAAGGACTGGGAGACTACTTTGGACGCGGATGGCTGAGCACGCAGCAGCGGTGAGGAGGAAAGACGCCAGCGCCCAGGTGGCGGTTCATTCCAAGGGACCCGGCCACGCTTTCAAGTTTCAGGAGGCTGAAATCCTCGCACGAGCTGACGACCGCATGGGCTGCGAGCTGCTCGAATCATGGTTCTCAGACCCGTAATCTATCAACAAGCGCAATGACCTCTCGGTATCATATTCAGTGCTGAGACATTTCCTAAGCAGGGGAATCAGTCACGCGGGAAGGGCGCGGGCGAGCAAAAATCCCGGTGACAGGGAGCCCAATTGTCGAGTATCATCACGCCAACATCCAACACGCATGACAAAATTGCGGCAATTAACAACTCGCACGCGGACTGACGAGCCATCAACGCCTCAATTACAACCCCTAGCGGTGATCGCGAGTGCACTTGATTATAGTACACATGCGGCCCACGGCAGCTACGTACTATAAATACCGCAGTCTTTGTGCCTCCACAACCTTTATCTGCAGCTGTCCCTGATGATGGGTTCGAGCAGAAATCCGAAACGTCAGGCCAATAAACTTCTTGTTCCAGTGGTCGCAGCTCCTTCCCAAAATCTACTGCGTTGATAGCTTCCCCACCCACTTGCTTACGCAAGACAGACGGCCGGTTACTTCAGGCGAAAACTGGACTCCGTCTTCCTTGATGTACAGTTCACAATGAAATGGAAGATCAGGTTCCTTTCCTAGACTCCGTCCGCTCCAAACCAACGGAAGAGACGAAATGGGTGTGTAGAAAAGGGACAAACGTCATGCAACTACTGCCCCATGACATACGAGGATCAATGCTGCCCGGAAGGACAGTGCTGATTTGGATTACAATGACGAATTAGAACTCTCTGTATTCCCATACCTACTGTATTTCGGCGGCAAGACAAAACTAAGACGACCCGGGCACAGTGGCTGATGCGGCATACAGTCGGCGTCTACGCATGCCACACACGTCGGCTCTTCGTTCTGTACATCAGCCCTGACAATCCGGGGCTAAGATAACTGGCAGTAACTGTAAGGCCGAGTTAGGAAAGAGCCGTTGCATGCTGGGCCTCAGCCAGTCAGCTGCCACTCTCTTGGACTTCAACTTTTAGGACATCACGATCGTCTGTCGCGAGGAAAGGCCGCGCATGTCCACATCGCAGCCTTTTCCGCCGACCTAGTATCGACGGCAATACTGAAAATCCAACTGCGTAAAGTAGACAACGTCGCGTAAAACCCCTGTATCGCGCTCACAAAAGGTCCGCTTAGACAGGAATACGCAACCAACAGTTGAGTAAGCCTTCATCTCTGGACCAAAGCACCGGAACTCTGCATAGCGAGCAGTGAGGAAACAGATGTGCAGATGCTAGCAGCGTTATTCTTAATTATTCACAAGATAGTTTACGTGAATTCGCCTTCTCGCTGAAAGGAGGCATTAGACCGGAATGTCTGTCTAAGTGATGGGCGCGCGGTAGAAACCTCACGACTAAGGGGTCAGAAAAAGTGCTCTAAATGCTATCTGCCTAAAATTACATCTGCCAGAGTCTGCATGCGTTATAATCAAACTCTGGAAAAGGCAAATCCCTCCCAACCACAACTATCTTTATCGCCTTGGGAGATAGAAATGATCCTTTCCCCTTGAATAACGCTCAACCAATTGATACAAAGGAAAACGAGCTCACTCGCTCAGGACTTTGTCAGATAGAATGCGATGGCCTGTGTGTTAGTAATTCTTGTCGCCCGGGGTAAGGACGAGTAGGTGGAGCCAGCTAGCGGAGGCAACTTTGTTAGCAATAATGAAACATAAGGCAAACAGCGCCATCAGTGAAGGCAAAAGTGGCCAGTTGATTATGTCAAGGAATTCGCGGTGGCAGAGATGATGATCACACATCGCCCATTAAGGGGGTAATTAGGTAAAAGAGCTGACTCGCGGTGAGTGCGTTAACCAGAAGGGCACGCATTCGCTATGCAGGTGAACAGGTACGGGGATTCGTGTCTGAAACGTATTTGGGAGTGTGTGCGGGCGTCATTGAACAACTGACTAGCTGCTGTGCAATGCCCACACTTTGTGCGGGCGCACTGAAGAACCAACGTTGGGGTCTACCGAAATTGCGATTAGGCTTTTCTGCGCACGGCAAAGACCTGAGATACAACTGGAACGACGAGGAAGCAGAACGAACAAAGTACTCAGAACAACTTGTCCTTTGCACTCAAAAGTGGCCCGTTCGTCGGGTGCCCAAGGAGCTATGGTAAAAGGACAGAGGACGCAGATGGGAAAACCTGAAGGAATTTGCATAAACGCTGGTGAATTTGAAATGAAGTATTTCTTTGCGGTCATAAATCTGAAGAATTAACCATATCAGACCGGCAGCTGTTCGTCGACCAAGCTCAGTCAATCAAAGACAGTCTCAAGAGGGAAATGTGCGTTCGAAATGTCCACAGTAACCCGTCAAAAATTATCAGGGAAGGAACCAATGACTTCTTTCCCACCAAGCTTAACACCGAGGTCAACAAATCCCATAAAGTGGTCCACACACTTCCAAGTGCAAAGGTCGCAGTTTCCAAGACTCGTCATGGAACTTGCATCAAGTCCGCCAATAAACCCGAGTTTGAGGCACTCACGAACGGAAGACCTTTTGCAAAAATTATGTACGAACAGTGGAGGGGGGATATATGTACTAAAGACCGCTTCAGGAATGTTATATGCGACGAAGTGGTCCGACATGAACAACGTCATCAGCCATGACGACTGAAACGTAAAGCTCATCCTGTTTGAAAACGTTTTTGGGGCGGAATACAACTACATAATAGTCAATCATTGCATATTCACCACGGTGATTTTCGGAAAAGTGCCTTAAATTTATGACCAGATGTGAACATAAGAAATAGGCACACCATCTCAACAGTTTCCTATAAGTCGAATAGCCAATGAAAACTTATAGAAACACTACAGATAGTGTGTGAATGGATTTTCATATCCCTAACTGACTCAATAACTGACGATAAGTACAATCGCAATCATGATCAGTCTACGAAAAGTGACCTACGACACTATGTCCACAAGACGCCAACAAAACCTATGCAAACGGTGGCACTGTGTGTAGCTAACTACTAGCGAAAGCTTCTAACACCCCCTGTTTTCGATGTGGGAGAAAGTTTCCATGCAGTTCGAACCAAAACGGTGATGCACAGTAAGCATATAGCCACAGGTCACAGAAAAACACGTTCTGGAAAAGAGATAAGAACCCTAGGCCGAAACGTTTTAGTAAAAACTTACAGGGAACAAAAGGACGAATGAAATCACAAGTTTCATATTTCCAAAAAGTAATGATGAAAGACTAGAGATATCAGGAAAGGGTAATTTCGCTCGAAGCGGAGACCCGAAGATTGCAGCCACGTCACTTATCAAAACGAACACACATAAAACGCGTGCTCTCTTTGAAACCGTTTTGTTCGTAGAAGGGAACTTTGTCCTCACTACAATCCAGAGAGATTTTGTAACATCCCTCTGCCTTCCCGAGTTCAACCAGTACAGCTATGATCCTGAGGGAAAAAGAAAACAACATATAATGTTATGTTAGATCTTGGGTGTGGTTTCTCCTTTATTTGTGGATCAAAGAACTTTAACTAAAGGAGAGGAATCGGGATATGCAGGAAGATATTATTTGCTCTTTTCACCACATATTTCGAGTTTCCGCTCACTTTACAGTGTTTAAATGACCTATGCGTAGGTCTTTAACAGTAATATTATACTTCTTTTTATGTCGTCGTTTGCGTAAAGCTGAAATTTAATACCACGCGACAGTGATTTCAGGGGTCTTCAGTTGGTATTTACAGAATTCGGCGTAAAATAGCCTTAAGGAATATATTTCAAATCAAGTGATGCGGGCTTATGAGTAGATTGAATGCATTTTTGGCGTACAGAAGATGCTTGACCGACGTATAGAGACTTACAGTTTGCCAAGACCCTTGCCGCGGTAGGCTTCATCAACAACAACGTCCTCGATATGGCCTCGCTAGTAGCAGAAAAGTGAGTGGAGCAAGCAGTTACCTTAGACATCGTGTGGATAAATTTCAGTTCGACAAGCAATGTCGCACAGCCAACTATTTTTCGGCTACGTTGGTCCTCGATTACGACAATGAAGTAGGTATCCTTGCGGGAAAAAAACTCATTAAAGCGCCCTCAAAATAAGAAAAGAAATCACTCATACTTGTAAAATCAGGTTCGGTAATCGTTCCGACAGTCGTGAGCTGCCTAAGTAAGGCAGGATAATCTGAAGGAATAAAATAATCAGGGAAAATACCAAAGTCATCGGATTTCAGCGGTCTCAAAATTAAATCACCAATTGTTGGTCCATTTACGTGAGACACTTTTGCATTTGATAATATTTTGGAGATGTTGTCTGTGCAAATTTTACCGGGATCGAAAAGGTAAGTCATTTCACAAGAAAATGGGTCCCGAACAAAATTTAACGCAACGCCCTTTCGTCTTACCGCATGTAAGTTTACGCGGAAAAACAAACGTGAGAGAGATCACTTGAATTTTTATGGCAACCAACAGTCGTTGAATCATGGCCTTAACATATTCGCCACAGTGTTTTTTGGCCGTGCAGAAGTTGAACCTAAGTATGACTCTAGATGTTAAACGAACACCAAACTGAATTATTATGCTTGCTTATTACAAGGATTATAAAGACGACTTTGTGAATGTCACCGTCGTTGTGGGTTTTAAAGTGTGTGTGCACTCGCACATTTATTCATGGCATGGGTCTTCTAGGCCGCATTCAAGTCCACGAAAACCTGCGGTAGACCACCGCCGGCTGCATCACATCCTCACCCACCAGCATCTCACCCCACATCAATATTACCCACCTCAAACACCCAACTGCCATCTCGCACGGAAGTGGGGAGCGTTCGTGTCGTTTCCTTCTTTATGCGGCCTCTAGCTGCATGTGGTATCTGAAGGAAGTCGATAGCCGCCCTAACTCAGAGTACGCAGTTCGTCCAATCGTGTGTGTCCGTGTGGTGTGGCGGACTATTGGACTGAGGGCCTGGCTGTCACGGTCCCTTCTCAAACAATTAGCGTCATTCTCATGTATGTGAGGAGAGTGTGTGTGCTTTATGAGTAGTCCCTCTCAGTCGACGACTCAGTTGAACACCGCTTGGCTACCTTACTTTGAAGTGTGACGACCCAGGCTATATGCAGGACCACCTGTCGCCCTTCTAGGTCGAAAGGTTTATAAGGGTGTGCTATGCCAGTATCAGCAACTATGCTCCCACAGCCTGATATGTATAGACAGTTCCGTGACACCTGCCGGTAAATGCGCTTGCGTTCCCGCTAGGTACACAGGTGGTGGGCATGGCTTCCCAGTCGCCCTCGTCGCTCTGTCCCTTTTAAGGCATTGTTGTTGTTGGCAAAAGATCATGGGAATTTGCTGTGTGGACAAGGGAGTGTGGTGGCATGCATAGGTGCGGCTCCGGCCGTGTCAGTCACCTGGGCCCTCCCCCCCACCTCCGGTCATCTTGACTCTATCTTGACACAGGGTTCAGGTGGGAGTGGGGAAGAGAGAGTGCGGTATATGCTGCGAAAATCTACTATCACGTTAAATTAATTCACGCACAAGTCATCGTCCTTGCCCTCACCTCGTAGTAGAGCAGACGGTGGATATCGTCGGCAACCACGGTCGAATTGTCAGGTTATAAAGTGAGCTATGACTAGACTTTCAATTCAATTTATTGAGAGCTATCTCTTGTCAGTGATCAAAGGCGACTGAGCAGCTCTCTCCACTTGGTTTAAGACGTTTAACAAGAGATGTGGCAACATTGAAAGTTGTTGGCTTTCACATGTGTATGTAACTCAAATGGACTACTGATTAGCCGGTAAAGTGGAAAGGCTAATTATCAAGAAAACGACTTTTCTAAACGGTTTGAACCCAAATTAAGCATAATTATGCGGGTCATAAGGCGAAAAATATCCGCTTCCGTCAGGATTGAGACCTTGAGAGGATGTCAGAAGAATTGGCTTCGATTATAAATGCAAATTCATAGGCAGACCTGGGCCACTGGTCAAAGAGCGTTATGACATTTCGGATTTTGGTCCGTTCTGCAAGCGAGATTGTGTGAAACCGTTCAAGGTCTTCTGGTCAAAAGTAAGTTAAAGTCGGCTATTATTTGAAAATTTTGGTTTGCCTAACATTAATTATCCTCAGGTTTTATAATTATTGTTCCATTATGCCTATTCTATTCTAGATCTTTCGAAGGTAATGTCTAAATCCTCGTATACTCCCATATCAGAAACAGTGATTAATGTTGAAGTCACCGCGATAAACTAAACCTCTCAGCCATCCCATGACCGCGGAATTTGATCGTAAAATCTGAAAATTTATCTACGATTATTAAATCGCTCTTGAATTCAAATACATTTACAAGCAAATTGCCAAGCGTACCACAGACAGAGTGAATCATGCACTTGGTAATTTCGGACGTTACTGATAAATAAAAGCGTAGATTTAGTATCGTCATCCACAACAACATTAACAACTTATTCACTCGTGTGGCCACAGTATCTGCATACATAGTATAACGAATGATCTAGGCTCCGGTACTTCTCTCTAAACTATTCTCATTAAAAAGTCAATTTGGCAAACACTTGTTTCCGGTAATTCTTCGTCAGGTCAATACAATTACATGAAGGAATGAAAATAAATAAAACTAACAGCGTTTATAGGTGTCTCAAGGGCTATTAAGTCACTAACACTCATCTTCCCCACGCTGCCCGCATGGTGAGGTCGGCGGGTTTCGGTCCTTAGGACTAGAGGAGGGGGGGGGGTAAGAGAGTCTTTGAGTTATGTTCTTCGATTGAGTACACGGAGTACCCATCACTTTAGTTAGGATTTGAGGCGGCATGCTGTCATCATTTGGTGTTGTCTTTGACCACGTTAGAGAGAGCGCTTGTGTCGGCGTTTTCTGAAAACATACCACTGGATTCGCTAGCCGTATAGCCACTGTCTCGGCCGTTGCTAGCATCCGCCTGCGTAGGCCTTTAGAGAAGTATGTTGGTCTCCGGTAGACAATCTGAAAGCCTTCCCTGGCATCGACTCGGTTGTTTGTATCGACTAAATGTGCGAAAATGGAACTCGATATCGGCCGGGTCTCATCTCTGTCTAACCATGCCGGCGTATGTTCGCCTACCCTCCTTACCAGACGTCTCGTTGCACGGTAAATGTATCCCTTTCCACAGGAACAAGTAAATGGGTAAATGCACATTGATGTGGCCTCTAAGGGTAGGCTGTCTTTACCTCCCTAACGTAGGAGGGGAGAGTCTGCGAAGGATGCGCGTAAATTCGCCGCAGGGAATACCCTCGTGATAACTGTAGTTAAGCACCGTCTGACTAGTTCACCCTCTGTGTCTCCTGCAAAAGACACTCTTATGAATAAATCTTTCTTTTCTGCAGTCGCAACAGTGGGCTTTGCAGTTCGCTCTCCAATATTTCGGAGGATAAATCTCTTTGGGCATTCGTTCTCACGAAGTGTGTTCCACAGCTGTTGGAGCTGTACTTCAATAGCTTCAGGTGAGCAGATGCGCCTCACTTTAGCCGCCAATCCCTGGACAAAATTTCGTTTGATGTTGAGGGGAACAAAACTGTGGAAATTAACGCATCGTGCCGTCCAGGTTTTCCTTCGGAACACCCTGCGCTGGATAGACCCATCATTTTGCCTGTGTGCAGGAGCCTAGCGCTAATGTAATTAAGGGCGCAATGGACAGGGTGCATATTGATAGGCTAATTGATTGGACCGTGTTCTCCATTATGCATTTGGACTCCTTGACATCACTTCCTGCTCTTCCTCGCCATTGTGAACGGACGCTATCGTTGTCTGATGCTTTGTCCTTTATTCCGCCCCATTTCTGTTTGTTATCTGTTCTAATTCTAGTATACTTAAGTAGCTATCACGTTGAACCTATCGGTCAATGACCTTATGCTAGGTATCAACGAAAATATGAGAGAAAGATACCCGTCGGAGAGCTCGTCTTATCATACAGAGTCGTCTTCTTCCTACGATGACACTACTGAGTCGGCGGTGGATTCTCCTAACCCGCTGAATTGTGAACACTGTCCACCTACTCAAACAGCAGAATGCGAGCCAACACTGTCTGAATCAATACTCAAGTGGGCAGTTAGATCACAAACGTCACATATTCTAAGGACTGTCAAACTGCTTTTTCGGAACCGTCATTGGGCGCCCAAGCACTTCTGGGTGGAACGAACACCACACCTCTAGTAAGGAGAGTGGGCAGTGATTAATACATTCAGTTAGGACTGGGAAGGCAGCTGAATGGTCGGTTACGACAGTTCCGTTTGGCATCCCCAAATGGAGATATACTTGTTAGGGCTTTCATGAAGCAAATAATAATAATAATACTAATTTTATTTAATGCCAGTTTACAGGCATTGTCAAGGGAAGCATTGAACACAAATCCTGCCAACAGTGAAAAAAACTCCTGTAGCAAAGGAATAAAAACAAAGTTGATGGTGGCTTTTATGGTTTGGAGGGTTTAGGGAAAAAAACTGCTGAACGCTAACTGTCGGCCGTCAAGAAGGTAGGGGAGGATATTATCAGTCGCCAATTCCTTTCATGAAGTTGGGGCTAGTCCAAACAGAAGCGCCGAAGAACGGCTGTCGCTGCTGACCGAAGAAATTGTCCCTGGTGAGACCGGCCATAGTGGTCATAAACCACAAACGCCATCGCTACGGTAGAGTCGATCAGTGGATTCAAAACCCAAAATTTGTAGATAGATAGATAGATAATTTTTATTAAAGACCCGTCGGGGTCCCATCAAAGCAAGTTAAAATAAATTTGCATGCGAGTTTTAGACGAGGTAGGCTGAATCTTTACAAAATGCAATTCATAGTTTCTGAATTAGAAGTCC